GGGGGCTGATTTAACTCAATTTATTTACTGTGTTGCTTCAACTCCCTACAAGTGTGAGAAAGAAGATAGGAAAGGTAAATAGCTAGGGTTGTAGAGATTAAGGAAAAGGCAAAATAGTTGGACTTGTTATTCATTCAAGTGTGAGAAAGGAGATAGGAAAGGTTAATAGCTAGGGTTGTAGAGATTAGGGAAGGAAAAGGCAAAATAATTGGACTTGAGTGTTAGAATCTGAAAGTACAACTGTACAAAGTAGCTTTTGTCACAAGTAAAAGTAAGGGCCCTTAGCTATGTTTAATTTGAAAGAAAAGGTGGGGAAACCCGATACAATCCGAACGTTTTCTTTCAAACCAAGGACAGTTAAGTGTCACTACCCCAAAGTAGGGGTCCTTAGTTTGATTTGCCAATCCAATTATTGCATGCTTCTCTTTCTCTTCTCCTTTTTCACACATGTGGTTTATTTATTCTATAATTAAAGACATAAAAATTACCTAATTATCTTTAATAAAAATCCTTCTCTCTCTCATGGTAAATGTTAACAACCTCACCCCTTCACCACTTCTTTCTCTCATATTAAATTTCTCAAAGTCCCTCTACTCTCTCTATTAAAGTAGGGGTATAAATAGGATGGGTTGGTAGAGTTAAGGCCCAAACCAAGCCCATCCCTGAACACAGAACTTGGTTTCAGCCATAGACCGAGGTGGAAGCCCGATTTGCCAATTCAAACCCTAAACCAAAAGGATAGCATGTGTATAGGTTTGGTTGGGCTTGGGCAAGTTGTTCAAATTTGAAACTGTGATCAGTTATAGCTTGATCTTGTCTAAATGGAAGCCCGGCCCAAGCCCATGTAGGGCCAAACTTAGGATTATTCTTATACTAGTGAATGACCCCGTACTAAGTACGGGGAATCAGTAATGTTAAATTTACATTATGGAATCAATATTGTTGAATTTATATTTATTAATATTTTAAATAATTATTAAAATTTTAAAAAAATAACTTTTCAATAATTATTAGAATATGGACAATTTTCTTTTGTTATGATACACAAAGGGTTAATGATTAAGTGAGATTGATAAATGTAGGCAGAAGTGGTTGTGGATAACCACTTTTGCATTTCTTGCATTTTTTTAGAAACAGATTGAAAATGGTGGTAGTGACTTGTGCGCTTTAGCATCAATTTCTCATAAAATGCCACGTATCTAGCTTTCCATAAAAATGAGAAGGTCATGTGTCTAAATGGTGGGGAGTTGTAGCCTAGTAGTGGGTTGTGGGTTTTAGTAGGAATTTCTTAGAAATTGCTACGTGTCTAGCTTTCTAGAAAATGAGAATGTCACTTGTCTGAATGGTGATAGTGTGTTGTGGGCCTTAACAGCAACTTCTCAGAAAATGCCATCTGTCTAAATTTGAAAAAGCCACGTATCTGAATGGTGGGGGCTGTAGCCTGAAAGCCTTCCTTTAATAGACAAACCGACAAAGTATTATGCACATAAAATCTTTTTACAAAACCTCTTATCAAACTTCTATTCAATCCATGCATTGCATAGGTAACAAGAGTGCAAAGGCCACCATTTCCAAAGAAGAATCATAGACAGATAAATAGATATAACACAAATAAATAACATACATACATCTGCAGGCATGTACACAATACACCCATTTCATTATTCAATTGAATAGATACATTTCAATGGAGGTCCCTCCTAGAACCTTTCCCTCTCCATATTATCACGTATTCTTTACATGCCTCCAGGACACCAGAAGATGCAGGGAATCTATCTGAAACTAAAAGAGCTTCAAGTGATTTTATCATCTGGAGAAGTGGGGGATCTTGCCAATAGCTTGTCAGCTTCTTTCTCTGGGTAGATTAACAGCTTTCGCACCATCGACCGGAACTCTCTGCTTTGCCGGAAAAAAAAAAATAGAGTCAGTTTTGAACAGATGAGACAACTACCAATGAACAATAAGAGAAAGAAAAAACTTCGCCAGAACATGTTTAAAAGGTTGCAATACTTAACAGCCATGGAGAATCCCCAATAGACATTATGTCACCATCAATGTCTTTGTATGCAATGACCCAGCCATTGCTTCTATCCTTGAGCTTCCCTCCAAATTCAAACATCTGGTCAAGCTCACCAACAAGTTGATCATACCCATTGAATCTTGTTAAGTCCACTGATCGCCCAAGAACACTTCCATACTTGTGGACCTGCAATCAAGACAATCAGTGTATGTTGAGAGTAGCAGACATGCCATATTGACTCAGAAACAGATTGAAGCATTACAATTACAAAGTTAGTTAACCACCTTGGTGAAACTCCGGCTAGCAATTGAGCAACAGTTTTTGCAGGGTTTCTCCGGAAGGCTGCCGGATGCACAGGAATTGGATGGATTCATTCTCCTGGATGGCTCTGAGAGCTGCACCGACTCTGTAGTGCCCGACTGAGATGCCAATGTAGGAACAGGGGAAGGATGGCGGACCTCTCCACCAGCCACAACAGGCTGTGATGGACACACTGTAGGCCTTTTAACTAAATCAACACCAAAGAGCATGCAACTTCCGCTGGGTTTTGGTTGGATCATTGGTCTCTCAGTTCTTTCTCTTTTCTCAGGAGCCATCTGTTCCTGCAGTCCAGAACCATGGGAGGCAAAATCTGAACCAGAGCAGTTCCTTCTTAATCCAACTTTTCCACCAGACCCATATGAAGAAAATGGCGGAGGACGGTAGGTACTAAGCCCTGAACCTTGCCGAATTCCATTAGGTATAGCATTTCCAGAATACAGATAAGGTGGAGCATGCATTGGAAGGGGCAGGTTGTTCTCCAACTCCATCTGTGTCTGAACTTTATCAGAGCTCAGGGGAGGAACTCGAAGTGGCAAAAATGGCCTCTGCACATTCCCTGAGCTGTGAGCACTTGTGTCTCCCATTTCTTGACCTTGCAAGACCCCTGGCTGTCTCTGAGTTGGTAGTCCAGGCATGATTGAACCCTGTGATGAGCCTAGAGAAAGAAACCAGTCCAGTTAGTGTTTTTAAAAGTAAAAAACACCCCAAACAAAGTACTTCTCGTATGAAAGTACTACCAAACATGGCCTAAAAGTAAAACTATGACTTGCTACCTCATTTGAGTCTGAAAACTACAAAGGCTAATGAAACACTACTGACCATCTGCTACCAAGGTGGATGATGATGGTTCATGAGTTGCTGAATGACTAGGACATGCTCTCTTTACTCGGGATAGAAGTGAAGGACAGCTCATGCTGGTAACTCCTATTGGTTCAATCTTCCATGGGGAAACCCTGTCAGGAAGCATTGCTGTTGCAGAGGTCTCATCCCAACGAACCTACATAGAAGTATAATCAGATAATTACTTAAAAGATGAAAAAAAAACCAACTCTGAGCACATGAAAATGGCATAACAGAAGAATAATAATAATAAAAAAAAAAACAGCAACCTTGAGACACCTCCATTTAGAACCAGGCCAGCCAATCGGATCAAGATCTTCTACATCAACTACAGTACCTGCAAGACTATATTACCACAAAGACAAAATTCAATAAGCTAGCATAACCCAAACTGGAGGCAAAAGAATCCTTCACTAGATCCACAAGGAAGTGGTTTCTTCACCTTTGGTCTGGAAATTCTTCAGACTGAAACTTCATTCTGAATCTCATTCCAACTGAATAAACCCTACTGATTGATGCTATGTATTGATCATAAGGAACTATGAATTCAGATGGGCATGTCCTGTGGAAGAAAACTTGAATAAATGAATAAAACTTTTGTCGAAACAAACTGCTAAAATTGCGAAATTCCATCCCCTCAGCGTACCTAGGCCGGTAGTACACGCTGAAGATGGTCCCAGTGGAAAGCGCATGGGATGTAGTGGCAACAACTCCAATTTGCATGCTGTGACCAGATATCACAGATGCTGAAGCATTGCTTTGTGGCTTCGTAGAACGACGAGTCCCAACACGAAGTTCTCCATTCTCGCCCCTGAGAAAATAAGCCAGTTTCTTCTAAATCTAACTGATGGATAAGCTGATTATGAGAGATAATAGATAGATAGATAGATAGATAGATAGAGAGAGAGAGAGAGAGAGAACCTAAGGAAAATGAAAGCGTCACCCGTTGTTAGCCTTTTACTGCTAACAAACGTACTCCAACCACTAGTGAGAAGATGTCGCTTAGGCTGGCCTATATTTACAAAAGAGAAAGCACAAACTGAGAAATTCAAGGTAATCTGTGAAAAGAGAAGAGCTACTTGACACATTAACTAATAAAGAATCAGTGAAGAAATCGAAGATAAAAAATTTAATAAAGGGTCCGTTTGGTTCACAGTCAGAATCCGAATCGGAATCCCTCAGAATGGAAATGGTCTATTCCCCTCACCTGTTTGGTTCAGACTGGAATGAAATGGCATTCCCCCATTTGAGGGAATGGCCATTCCCTCCCCCTCCCCTGGGAATGAAAATCTGTTCCCACTATCAGGAAACTTATTTTCAGGGTTGAACTGATTCTGAGTTGCTCAAATTATGAAAATTGCTAGATAAACCCACCACGATATATATGACGGAAACGCCATTGTACACCATGGAGATCTTTAGCTATCAGTTCCTGTGATGGGGTTTGCTGAGACATGTCCTACAACAACAAAAGCAAGCCATGATTAATATCTCTGTGAGCTTATTTCATCCACCCTGATCTCACAGGGATTCCTCTCTATGCATGATTAAATGTTGCAAAGTTGATGGTTTATTTGAGTTCGAAAGCTACGGATGATACCCACCAGAGGTGGAAGGCATTCATCAGCGTGCCTCTTGAGAACAGAGAATCCGCCATGCGTGCTTGTATCAGATGCAGTGAGAACTTTGGAGAAGGAGAACACTTTAGGCCTCTGAGGACTCCGAGGGAGAGATTCAAGCAGTCCATGCCGCAGGTTATTGTCATTCTGATGCAAAAATCCAAACGTTATCCGTATCTAAGACCCAGAAAAGTAGATCAACTGCAATCAAACAAATGGGTATATAAACTATTCTCCAATTTCAGCAAGTCAGTAGGCAACCTTCGTTTCTGGAAGCAGTGTTATTTGAGCGAACACCTCATCTGTTTCCTTTTCCGCCTGCAAACCAAGAAAAAACCAGCCAAGAACGTTATTAGAAAACGAAATAACGATCACCTCCCACCCGAACTGAAGGTGGGGAGCAGAGAGAGAAAGATACACAGACAGATAGACAGTGAGACAGACCTTTAACTCAACATTTACAACTGCGCACTGAATGTTGGAAGGTATATGGTAGATGGGCATTTTCAGATCATTATCAAGCTTTGAGAATGCCTCAACCTACAAAGAATTTAGATAGTCAATACAAACTGAAGAGAAATCAAATGATTATTGTACAGCACTGAATACTCAGATCACAGGAATGAAACAGTGAAAGAGATACAGGAGAAAACAGAACCTGTTCGATGTGTCCTTGTGGGAGGTAGAAGACCTTCTCACCGACTCGAGGAACAGCGGCGAGGGGGCCCGCGCATGCATGCCACAGGTCCCAGTACAATGGATCCTTCTCTTCTGGGATCAGACAAGAAACAGTATTGAGAAAAAAACTGGGAACCATTTTTCAGTGGATCAAATAAGAACAATGTTACACTCGTCAAAAACATAAAAGCTAGAAAATGGTGATTACTACAAAGTCGGAGTAATCCATTACATGAGGCTCAAATGAAACATAGTGGATGACCCAACTGAGAATATAACTCAGATGACTATATGGGAATCTGAATTTGACGTTCAGATCATCGAATATTCCGACAGAAACCAGAAAATCATACAGCTGGAAATTGAAATTTTAGCTCGAGGAAATGTAATGCAAAATGGAAGCTTTAGACTTCAAAGAAGACAGAAAAACAGCAGCATCTGTAATACAAAGAGATGAACTCTAGTTGAAAATGATTGAGAAGCGGAATCCCAACGAAGCAAAAGAAAAWTAAAGCATCGAAATGCAGTGAYGCAGGCTCTGTTCATTCAGCAATGAAGAAATATTTGGAGCCTTGAAAATGGGAAAAAGAAACAGAGGAAGGAAGGAAAGAGAAGACACGCAAAAGTCCTAGTCTTTAATGATCACGAAGAAAGCTTTTCCCATCGAAAAACGAAGAAAACAATAAACAAATAACAATTTGCTTTGCTCCCCAGCACAGAACACCACTTTACAAGCTACAAAAAACAACTGAAGAAAGATAGCGAAACATCACCTTGCCTAGTAGGCCGCAATACTTGCCCGCCATTGTAGCTGGTACCCTCAGCTTCAAGGTTGGGGTACTGACCTGGTAAGTTCAACTCAGCTCCAACAAAAGCAGAACCCATTTCTCTCCCTCTCTCCCTCTCTCTACAGACCAGAGGAAGGAATATGAAGAGTGTATGAACACGAAGCAAATGAAACAGCAAAGAAAAGCCGAGCTTCAAAGCCTCAAACTCTCAAACAGACAACCTTAACAAAAACTGCAGATAAAGAGAGACCCAGAATCCTGAATCAGGTGCCTATAGAATCTTCAATGTGGTACTAAACACATCCCCCACCCTCCTTTTATACTGCTCAGAGAACTCTCTCTCTCTCTCTCTCTCTCTCTCTAACGTCTAAACGCTTAACGTTTTGCTCTCATGTAATCCTGCAATTGCTTGCTACGGCTTGCTACGAGGCGGGTATAGGGTGGTTTTTGAGACCCTACCTACCTCCCGAGTTGGATTTTGAGAATCCAAACCGTCCGGGCATATGAAAAATGCAAAACCCTCTACACATTCAAACATATTGTGGGTTAGTTTTATAACTCACATCTAATTTATTATTTCTTGTTATATATAAATAATAAGTAATTAAAATAATATAAATAAATAGCAAAATTTCTAATTATTTGATTAATATATATAAAAAATACAAACTAATAAGTTATTATTTGCATACAATTCAAAATAATGTTAAATTTAATATCTAATACATAAAGTTTATATGATTTTTAACAATATATAAGTCGGTTAACTCAATACCATATCCTATCCATACCAGATCGTAGAATCCAAAAACCCAAGTTCGGCTTCGATTAGTGCAACTCTTGTTCAAATAGTTTTTACAGCCTTGCATTGAGAATATCTCCATACTCATGGGGATATTCTCAATGCAAGGTTGCAAGAGGCTGTTCAAATGGTATAAGTATGGGCTTGTATTGACCGAAGGGGAATTCCCCAAACCCGTCCTAGCCCCAAAATCTGTCTTTGAGATTGTATTTAGTTGAAATGCAAATAAATTTGGACTGATGCAAAACCATGACAGTGTAAATGATTTAATTGTAAATTCTGACCCATTTTTATTTCAAATTTTATCTCATTTTGTTTGATTGCAATACAAATGAAGTAAATTAAGACAAAGTGGAATAAAGTAAAAGTCAAAACAAAATTAAATAATAATTTACATTTTTTTACATTTGCACTGCCATGCATTTGTACTAGTATAAATAAATTTCAAATGCAACCAAACACATAGTCTTGAGGAAAAAAACCCGCCCTGTAGAAGCGGGTTCCCACCGGGGTAGGACCGTAGGATAAAATTGCTTTCCCTCATCTTTGCCACCGTACATTCATCTAACTAAAAGCACGATTCAGCTTTACGTACACTCGCCCTCAACCGTGGTTAGCTTGTCATCTCACCGTCGGCCGGCGGTTTTGCCCACATTTCCGTCGCCTCTTACACCTTTATTTGATTCAGTGCTGCAACATATACAGAAACCCACAAATGGTTGTGATCCTGCGTTTCCACCGGTATCACGACAACCCATGAAGTCACAAATTCATTCTCATAACCATTGGATTGGAATAATGTACAGCACACGTGTAGTTATTCCTACGGGGAGTCTTCCCTCTTACGTAAGAATTGTTCGACGAGTTGTCAAAATTGAAAGAAAAGAGACACGTCATCGAACCGGCCGGGGCATTGAATGCAAAAGGCGGCTCCTTCGTTGGTGCGAGCGCCGTGAACCCCGCCGTCACATGGACAAACGGCAACAGTCGTCACGTCAGTCACAAGTCACAGCGCCGTTACTTTCCTCAAGTGTCGTCTGTTTGGCTAGCAGTGTGGGTCCCCAAAAGAGGTTAATCCCGGTAGAGCCACGTGTCGTAGGGAAGGGTTGAAAAGGGTTGATAGAGACAGCCGTTACGATTCTTTCGCGCCATCCATTGTAAGTCCACGCGAGTTTTGCTACCACCCTTGTCACATCCTCCTTCCGAAGCCACCGGCATAGATCCGTTACGAACACTTTTTATTATTTGAAAATTGTGAGGCACGAAACTCCATTGCGTGAAAATAATAATAAAATATATGAATATAGGACAATTCAATAATTATCAGATTTATTTATGTCTTATTTTATCATTGCCAATAATTGGTAACATCAAACGGAGAATCAGCTTTGCTCTTTTCTTTGGTTTCAGCACTTTTTGGGTGGATGAAATTACTTTTTTTCCCTTCTACTTAACAACTTAATTAATGTAAAGTAATTATTATTTCTCTGATTTTTCTCATATATAGTAACTTAATTAATGTAAGAATTATTATTTCTTTTGACAGAAGAGAAGAAGATTAGGAGAGAGATAAGTAATTTTGGATTTGATTATAATTAATTGTCATTGCCATTAGATCATGGGCTGGGTAGTCCGATGGCCCGGCCTGCACCCCGGTCGGGCTTAGTCATATAATTAGGCCCGTGGGCCTGACTTCGGGCCTAATACAATAAGCCCGACTGTATTATGGGCCGGGCTCGAGATTTATCAAAAAAGCCTGGCCCGATTCAGCATTATATATTTTATAAAATACATAATATATATTTATATATTATATAAAATATATAAATAGTATAATATTTATTGAAATATATATATATATATTTATAATTTAATATATACATTTTTTATTTTTTTCTTTATAATTTGTCTCTCACTCTCTCTCTCTCTTCAGCCGCTTCAGCAATAGTAACAACATGAGATAAATTTCGAGCTCAGGCCCAGGCCTGGGCTTCGGGCTTTCTATGAGGGTCGGGCTTGGGCCCAAATTGTAGGCCCGATGGTCGGGCCAGGCTCAGGCCTTAGAAAAATCTGTTAATACAAAATGAAAGCCCAACCCGGCCCGCCCATGAACAGGTCTAATTGCCATGTAAAGTTAGCTTGAAAACATGTGAGTGGAGTTAAAATAATTAAAACGGGACAATAACAGAGGGCTCTGGGGTAGTACGTTCCCAACAATCTAAGCAATAAATTAATGTTAAATGTCTCGAAATCAGTTCATTCAAAATAGAAACTTTATGAGCTTTGTTAGCTAATCAAGTTTTAGCTATATTTGCTTCTCTGAAAACATGCTTATACTGAAATTTTTCCTTCCAAACTATATCTCATGGTCATTCAGTCTTTAACGATATGCTTTAATTTTCACAGCAGTTTGGTTTTGTCGTTGAGGCAATTGATGGCGAGCTTTGAATCACCTTCAATAACGATGTACCTATTTCTGAAATTGCTTGCTATATTATGGGCCTCCCAAGCAGCCCAAGCTTCAGCTAAGTTAGCAGAGGTAAATCCGATTTTGTAGGCTTTTAGGTCAAGAATATTTTCCAAGTGATCCCTTGCAACACAACCAGCAGTGATCATTTATGCACGAGGCATCAAAATTTATTTTAATAGCATCTAAACATAGACACATCCATCTTACCGGCATCCAACCCTTTTTCTTTTTTCTTTTCCTTTGGAGTTGATTTAATCTCCTAAAAAGAGCTGAGAGCTCTATCAAGAATGATAGCCATAGGTAAGATATTATTTTTGAAAATTCTCATTTCTATTTTTTTTAAATATGCCAAAATAAAATTACAAAATTTCCCTTAATATCTGAATTTTGACAGATATTTGGATCATTATCATTCAACTTTTTCCACACCTCCTGAAATGAGAAAATTAATTCACTTGTGAACTTGAATGTACTTTGGGTAATCAACCACATCTGTTTTGCATGGTTGCAATTGACAAAAATGTGGTTCATAGCCCCCTCACTTTCACCAGAAATATTTACAAAATATTTCCATACTTTTGCAAAACACTATCTAAAGTACTTACCTTTAAGTAAGCAGTTTTAATTGAGAACACCCTATCCGTATTTGGTCTCCACATTAATCTATCTTCTTTAGGAGCCAAAGGAAAGAAATTTGTCCTTATCTTTTTCCACACTTGGTATGTGGTGGTGCGCAATCCGGCCGGTCCTAGCTGTCAATGACCTTGCCTCTGACTAGAAAAATAGGGGGGCCTGAAACGGAGAAGAAAGTGGGGAATCTCTGGGGAGGAACCCGGCGAGATCACAACGAATCTCAAGTTAGTATTCTCTCAAAGGCAAGATAAAACCAGATGGCACAAAGTTCACATACCTTGTCATCGGGGGGTAGAGAGCCTTTTATAACCACTTTGCGCAATCACTCCGAGGCTTTTGTCAGGTCGGGTATGATTACTTCTGTGCTTCTGCCAGTTCGGGTGTCATCACCTCTGTTGGGACAGAACCGCCACTGCTCCTTGTCGGAGCCGTCTCTGTAACTGGAGATGGCGGTGGCAGGTGGCG